CAGTTGTAATAACAAATTACCAGTTCCCCAGAGTATTGGGAAATGGTTTTTGAGTGACAGTCCTTGGCCAGATTCAAATCTGGGTCGTTCCGGTTACGTAGCCCCGACTCTCTTGGGAACATTATTATTTTTTTATTGTTGCTTACCCTTGAAATGTTACTGGTATCAGCACTATTTGCCCCACTTCCGCTATTTGTAATCGCGTTCAAGGGAAAATCAAATAAATTGCATAAATTACTCGTAGGCGTAGTGGGTGTAGTTGCATTGGGCAAAAGGTTTTTTTGATTATTGATGGCCGAAGAACCTTTTGAATTACTACCACTAGTTGACTCACTTTTCGAAGATTTCGTACGCGATTTGGTGGACTTTTTGCATGATTTACTATGCGACGCTTTCGTTGAATCCTCCGCTGAATTTAAATTATTTGATTTCATAATGTGTCGAATACTGCAAAACACGATAACAAAAATAAAAAAATTAAATTGTTCACAATTTTTGAGATTGAAAATAAGAATGTGTGAGTTTGAGTTTTGATTTTTTTCACTATGCGTCAGTAGATATAAATCATGAACCAAAAATACAAGATCACGCCTTCTCCTTAGTAGCCAGTTATAATCGCATTTAGGAAAAAAGTTGGGCGACTTTGACATTAGGCGTTTGTTTACATTTGTTCGTTGTTTACGATTTGGTGGTGGCTTTTTACAGCAATTTTCTTAATTTCCGCTTGTGGCAACGTGTGTACGCGTAAGGTAAGGAATAATTTAACACGACATGATTTATGGAAGAATTTGCATAATAAAAATGATTATTCATGCGTTCAACAATTACGCAGTTTTTTGCGTTCTCTTCGTTGTTTACTTGGGACACGAATTTCGATACGATACGATACCATATCGATACTTTTGGCATTCGATACCGATATTGGGTGGGCTTTATAGCCCGAACACAATGAAAACGACGAGCTACGGACCACAGCTGTCAAATCATTTTAACACGTACTCTTAAGCGAAGCGCACATTAGCGCGATTCCATCGTTGCGAATACGTTGCGAATTCGGCTGTTAACTTCGAATCCGCAAACGTGCGCACACTTGAGCGATTTTTTCGCGTCGATTTCCGATGTACAATTCACTCAATTTTTCCTTTATTTCGTGTATTTTCGCACTCGGCGTGCCCAAATCGTACAAAATACTATTATTACGAACGTTTTTATTAGTTTTTGTACATTACACGTTTTTTTTCTTTGCCTTTATTGCTGTGACACCTTTCTTCTTCTTCTTTGACGCCTTCAAAACGCTGCAAGCCGCGTTTCGAACGCGTAAATAGAGAGGAACATTGAATGTTCGAAAAATTCGCAGCGACAGAATCGTGCAAGTGTGCGCTAGCGCATTAAAATGTATGGGTAGCATTGTTGTAATTTTTGGGCTTGCGGATTCGCAACGACAGAATCGCGCCAATGTGCGCTTCGCTTTATGTAGATAATTATTTTGGCGACGACCGGGCTACGCGACGGCTGTGGTTGTGGCCAGATTAGATATATTTCTATTTTTCTTCCTCTTCTTTTATGTCAAACTCATACAAATTCATGATGTCGCTGCCGCGTTCAAAAAAAGCATGTCGCCATCGACAACGCGTTTAGATAATGAAGATGACAAATTGGAAGCTGTGGTCCGTAGTTCGTCGTTTTCAATGTGTTCAGAACTTTAGTAGTCAGCCGCAACTTGTGTTTTAAGAAAACCAGGTGGAATTAACAAATGAAACTTGGTCAGGATGTTAAGGGAGGTATCCTCTAAAACATGTATAACTAAAAAATATAAATAATATCATTGTTTATAAGTTATTTGTTGTTAAAATTTCTTAAGTCGTTCCACTTGGTTTCCTTAACAAAAAAGCATTTGTGCATACTTTTATATATATAAATGCACATAACACTGTACTTAATACTTTACACACTTTTCTTTTATTTTATCTTGTATATAAATCACTTTAATTAAACTTTTATCGACTTGTAAATTACATTGAATTTCACGCATATGGGTGTTTCCAGCGGAAGGTCCACCACGACAAAAAAAATAAAAGTTTTATATTTAACGTATTTACGGGCCGATTTGTCTGCTTTTTAAAATATATACTGGCTATGTAAGTAGAATCATGTTTGCATAAAATGGTCTTCCTAGGTGGTGCCAAGGTCGAGATATTTCGAAAAACCGTATTTATGGTCCGATTTGGTTCGATTTTGGCGTATGTGGTTGAAACATAATAAATCATAGATTTCCAATAAAATGACCCTGAATTGGCGCTGGAGTCAAAATATAACGTATATTCTACATAAAATACATGTTTTATTTGCGTTAAAAATTCATTTAAAAGCAATATTAACAAAAATATAACGATGGAAATTTATGTCACGTCACGCCACGTCACGTCACGTTTCACACTTGGGGTTGTAAAAGAGAATTGAAACAATTTGCATTAATTCAAAAAACTCTAAAAACAACTAGAATTGCTCCAAATCATATTCAAATAAGATTCATGAAAAAAGCCATCCACATTTCGCAGAGTTTTGCGATTTTGTAAGAAAAGAAAAAATCAACTTCCATTTTTTGTCACGTAACGACACTCTCTTTAAATGCTTATATTTCAGGACCAAGCAGTTGGATTGATTTAATTTTTCGGTTAAATATAGAGCTAATTATGTGCTATACAATGACCCAAAAAAGTTAAAGAAAACAAATGGTATTCCTTTTTTGTATCACATTGAAATCGTACGACTGTCACGTGCGCCACCATGGGAATGCCCATATTTACAATAACACATGGTTGCAAACTGACACATAACATGTGTTGCCATATTGTACAAAACAATACATACAAAGAAGGCAATGATTAAAAAGGAATACAGGGGAAATCAATACAAAAGAAAATTCTCAGCTCCTTTTCTTCGCAAAACAGAAAGGAGAATTCTATTGCCGGAGGGTTATAATCTCTAAGTGCGGCCGAAGGCCGCCTACGCAGAAAGGTGTTCTCTGCAAA